ACATAACTTTATTTCCCCCAAACATATTTATGTAGCTAAAATTAGTTTTAACTAATGTTAAAAGTTAAAACTAGTTTTATCTAAAATCAAAACATGTACAGCAGTAAATTAACTAGACAAAACCCGTTTTGTCTAGTTAAAACTAGATTTTACTGCTAGTCAAAAATGAATTTGAGTTAAAACTAGTTTTAGCTAGACAAAACGGGTTGTAACAAAAACATTCAGTATAAACTAGTTTCAACTAGTTAAAACGCGTTCTAACTAAAAACGGGTTTTGACTGTAACATATATACAGAGTAGAGCCTCGATTATCCGACTCAATTGCGGACTGGGGTTGGTCGGATAATTGAAAAGGCGGATAACCGAAAAGTATGAAAAAATCCATTATTAGTGTAGTATATTATTATTTCCCATGTAATTAGTATATTAGTATATCGCTATTAACCTACTTCGCGTTGAATTTTCATTGATGTTAAGCCTAACAAAAGTTTTTTAAAATAATAATCGTCACTATTGTATCGTTAAAAATTAGAAAATTAAGCTTCGTTTAAATACTGGCTCCTTTTCATGGTCGGATGAGTGTTGCCAGCTAAAACACGTAAAAATAATATTAANGGTCGCTTGGTAAAATATCTATCCAAAGAGGTTTGGCTTTGCCTACTTTTTAAAATGTTTCTAAAATGACTTAGGCAAATGTCATAATAATGACATTTGCCTAAGTCATTTTAGAAACATTTTACGAGCAGCAATATGGCCAGTATGAATCTTTTCGGGATGTTTCTGATAAAATCAGTCACTTTCAAGATTTCCTTTATTGAGCGAGATCCTTCCATGATAAAGCAAACACGCGGACTGAGACCAATGAACAGAAGTGAATAAAAAAATGGCACTGCAAACTAACGTAACATCGTATGGTGAGTTTTTGTTCGTATCGTGGAGCAAAAATATGTTCGAATTTCATGTCGTATCCTGAAAATTTCGTATGCCGGGGCGTTCATATCCTGAGGTACCACCTGTATTTTTAAGATATTACTTTACATAATAACAAAATAGAGTATAATTTCAACTTAAAATAATAATTTTTTAAATTTGATATATTGCTGTAGTTTACTTAATCTACTATTTTCTTTCTTCAAATGTTTTCAGTCTTTCCAAATTTTTCTATTGTTTTTTTTTAAATATCTTATTTACTTGCATATAAAACGATCTTGCATATAGGACAAGGTGTGACTTTAAAGATCAAAATAAAGAAAATTATATTTCTTAATACAATACTAATTTAATTCATTTAATCACAAATAAAATATCAAATGCACATATTAAGGTAAACAATCATGTTTTCTTGATGCTATCACCTTTTGTCTACTTGGACTTGCCCTCCAAAGCTTTGTTACAATTTTCCTCTTTTTCACTCTCACTCCACAAAGCATTGTTCTCTGATTTGTTGAGTTAATATGAAATGCAGTATTTCCTGAATGACTTTGTTATCAGCTCTTGAGAAATGCTTTTCCATGCACATGATACCCACATAGCAAAACCAACAGATTATAATGCACATAACTAAAAAAAGTTTATTTTTAATGATTCAGAATGTGCAATGTGATTCATTAAAAATACCAATCAACAACTATGAAATAACTACATTTATAATCATTGCTAAGTGACCAGCTACTTTCGTATCATCTCTTTGAAAGTAATATTCACCTTGACCTCAATAGCACCCTGCTATAATGGCAGCATGAACTATATACAGTTCACAAAAATTATTGCAAAAAGCACAAAGAATCCTTTGCTCGTGTATATAGGACGGCTTAGGTTTTTGAAGCAGTGAAAAATGAATAAAAACCTCGTCTTATATGCGAGTAAATATGGTAACTTGTATATGATGATTAAAATAACTTTAATATTATAGGCTATTTATGCAAAAAAGTTTTTAGAAATTATAGAGTAGTAGAACTGAGAATAAATTTCAAACATTTGTTTTTAGTAGTTTGATTTGAGGAAAAAATTGGGAAAATTTTAAAATATTGTTTTTTTATCAGTGATAATTTCTATATTATGTTGCCTTTTTTATTTATATTAAATCTCAAGTTACTAATGATTTTATTTCAACAGGAAATTTCGTTGTGATTGTGGCAACAGTAGATTTCCAAATAGCCGTTGTCGTCTGTATCCAGTAAGCATTTCTTTTTTAATTTGAATATAAATAAATTTAAACATGTCTAACTTCTTACTCTTTTCAAAGGATAAAGAGCCAACAAATATTAATAACAAATATAATCAGAACTTTTGTGGCAAATACTGCATTTGTGCTAGGCCTTATCCAGATCCTGAAGATGATGTATGTTTAAATCAACTTATTCTATTTATTTTATTGTAGAACTATAACAAAAATTTATATAGTCTATTATAAAGTTAAGAAAAATTTATGAAATTTAGTAATTTGAAGTTAATAAAATAGAATTTTTTTTTAATGTAGAAGTATAANAAAATTTTTTTGTAATTTTAATCTTTTATTTCACTTATTAAAAATTTTAAAAATTCATATATGATTGACTTATCTTTAAATGATAAAGAGAATTCTTGCATTAAGTGGATTTTGCCATTGCCCTGGCAAAATACCATTGTGACAACATTAATCTTCATGAGATAAAGGAAACAAAAATTTTACCAGAATTCTTTAAATTGAACTGTAAGTTACCTTCACAGCCCCCAAGAAATAACCCGTTTCCAATAATGATTTTATTATTTACATTGAAAAGTGTAAAAAGCAAAGTGGTATTGTAATAAATGTTCCATTTTGAGTAGAATAGATTTTTCTCCTAGTAAGCAAAGATGGGTTTAACCTCCAATTTGTAGAGCAATTCAAATATCTGGTTTTATTGGATCATTCTTCTGTACTCAGAAAATAATAGTTAGTTTAAGGATGCTCACCCCTTTAAATGGAATGGATGTGGTCCCATGCAAACACATGCAACTTTGCATATCAGGGTGCATACAGTGATCCCAGGTTTGGCTACTTTGTGCCAAATTTACTCCTTTTTTTATTCTTTCGACACCAAAAAATATTTTGTACTTTTTCAAACAATCGTCAATAGAAAAAAAAAATCAGATTTCTTTTAGCTTTGTTCTGTTTAACCACTCTAAAATACTGCTCTACACTTAAATGTCAAATATTGTCTCCTCCTCGTTTTGTTTGATTTGAAAATCTTTTAGATCATTAATGTATTTTTGTAAAATTTTTTCTCTACGTTATAGGAATTTCCGTTATAGGAAATGTATTTTTGTAAATTAATTCAAATATTATAATTTAGAGATTTTAATTGCCTGTTAATCCTAAACTCCATAAATTATAAGATGACCCGAAAATCATTAATACAAATTTTCGATAAAGTGAACTAACTACTGTTCCCCTAGCAGTTTATATTAATGAGTGACTGTATTATATATAATGTAATATAGTGCATAAATATACATATCTTAATTTGAAGAGAAATACAAGATATAAATTTAACAATTTAATAGTTATTAAGATTCTTACAAAAAAAGAAATTTTGCTAAACATTGTTGTCCAAAAGTTTAGGTAAATTTCAAAAATCATTGAAAAAATTTTTTAATGGCTAATTGTGCTTCCATTATTTTTAATAACATCAAGCACAAGTTTGGCATTGAATTCACAAGGGTTTGTAGCAATTCTGGTTTCAAATTATATCATGAATCCTCAATTGCACATTTAAGTTCTGTAACATTGGAAAACTGACAAACACCTGCATACACCTGTCTTGCCATGATTCTCCATAAGTTTTGTATTGGTTTAGGTCAGAACCTGTTGCAGGCCATTTCATAACATTCACATTTTGATTCTGAAGCAATTGTTTGGTTGAATTTGAACAATGAATGGGAGTGTTGTCCTGTTGAAATGTCCAATTTGGACCACCTGTCATTTCTGCTATAGGAAGATGATGATGATCTAAAATGTCTTAATGTTTTGAAGTCTGACATCCAAAAATAAATGCTAGACTGGAAATTCTATTGAATCCAAATGCTTTCCACACCATTAGAGAGCCACCACTTTGTTTACTGTAAAACACTGTCTTCTTTTCTCAGATTATGCCAGTAGTAATTTCAGCCATCAGAACCATTAAGTTCCATTTTTTTTTCATTACTGAAGAAGGTACTTAACCATTCATCTTTCTACTTCATGTAGCTTTTGGCCCATTTCAGTCTTGCTTTAAGATGTTCAGGTTTGAGATGTTGTTTTTTTACACATTCTTGTTAGTTTAATGCAGTGTTTTTCAACCTTCTTGAATAGCGACCCCTTTACAAGTTAAAAAATTCTGGCGACCCCCCTAGGGCCATATTAAAACTATATCAGTGATTTTAAAAACTATGTATTTAATTTTCTCTCTGTTGAGACAAATTATTGTTGATTAAAGTGAAAATTTCAGAAAAATCGACAATAACTTAACACACACAAAGTATGAAACTTCCTTTAATTATAACATTCGGCACAGGAAGATGTTGACCTTTTTTTTTTGTTTAGGATCAGAATTTTCAGCTTCTACATTTCTACTTTTTATTTCTTTTTGCAGATCAGCTCAACACTTTTTCCACTATCATTTTCTGGGGTGGGCCGTAATTCTCGCTGAAATTGTAGTTTTTTTTAATGTAGTGTAGGACCTGCAAACACTTGTCTTTTTCTTTTATCCGCGACCCCCCCGTGTAAGGCTTCGCGACCCCTTTGGGGGTCGCGACCCACAGGTTGAAAAACACTGGTTTAATGTAAGGATGTTTACATATTCTGTGCACAGTATTTTTACAAATATTTAAGTTAGACTCTCTTAAAACATGTCTAACTGATAAATTTTGTCTAGATACCAGTCTTTCATCTGTAGGCAATGATACTTTAGGTTGATTTGAACGTGTTGCTTGTTTAAAATTTTCATTTCTTGCGAAAACTTTATATATTCCTGACCTATTTTGCTTGAAATTTCAATTACTGAATGTCCACTTGCTTTCACTCTCCAAATATCAGTTATTTCTGAAGAAAATTGATTATCTTTTGAGCATCTTGATTTTTTTTCATTATTTCTTTGTTAATTCCAAAAATAACCATTATAAAAATGTGATTTTACTAGATTTTATTGTTAGTCATAACTGATGTCATTCATTATGAATTTGTGTAGTAATTTGCTTAGAAACAAATAAAATATTATTACTATCTAAACTTTTTGGACAGCAAAATCTAACAAAATTTCTATTATATTCTATTCTAAGCAATTTAATAACTATTAAATTTTTTAATTTATTATTTTAATGATATGTATTATGATGCATTGTGACCTCATTTGTCTTATTAAATCAATCAAATGTTCAGTATTTCAAAAGTTTTTCATGAAAAATCATTTTACCTAAACTTTTGGGATAACCTTATAAATATAAGGACATTAAAAAATAAATTTATTGAAAAGAAAAGACAAGTATTTCATAAAGAACCAAGTAACATTTGATTGTTTTAATAAATTGATAAAATAAAAATAAGACACCAAACTATGGAAGAGAATTATGTTAGAAGAAATATTGTATATTATATTAAGGTAAGATATATATTTTTTTATTTAATTAATTCCCCCCAAAGTTTGTCAATGGCATTTTTACTATGATGATTTTTCTACATAAAATCATATAAAGAACATTTTTCTTCAATTAAAACAATTAACATTTCTACATCTATCTTTATATCAATTACACACGCAATTATAAGCTATATATAGAAAGCATCTATTCAGTTAGAAGTGCATGCACACAAGAAAATGTTTGCCTCTTGATCAAGTATTGGTGTTTGCGTGCCCAACAGGTTTAAGCATACTAAAACTTGTATAATCATGTCCACAAGGAACTACTTTTCCTGAGTATAAACATCTTTATACAAAACATTTTGTTGAAAAGTTTTAATCTTGATCTACAGGGTCCATACAGACCTGGAAAGTCAGGAAATAAGATTTTAGCAGAAAAAGTCAGGGAATTGCAAGTACTACCTAATCCATCTATTGCTCACTTCTTTTTGATCTGAATGTCTTTAAATTTGGTTCGGTATTGGGGGGTCTTTGAAATCTGGAGCAACCAAAAGAATGGCAAGATATTGTCACACTTAGATCATCATTTATAGTTACAAGATATAACAATTTAAATTTTGTTGGATAGGTTTGTCTATTTAAAATGTTGGATAGTGGGGCTGTATGGGGAGGGGTAGCGGTTGCACATGAACATTGAAAATGGCAATGCCATGCAAGGTTTAGGCAGTGAAACTTTGGATCACAAAAGAGATAGAATGTTGAAATTAGTGTTGATTTGTACAGAATGACAGGCTTTACAATATTATTTAGCAATAATCTATATATATAAAAATGAATGTGTGTGTGTATCTGTCCTTCATGCATTACCATACCGTTTATCCGATTGGCGTGAAACTTTGGGAAGTTGTTTAATATACTCCAGCGAAGGTTTGTGGCATAGTACGATTGCCATAAAACTTTGGAAAGATTTTTAATACACTCCCGCGAAGGTTTTTGGCATAGTACATTTATCCTACGATAGATGGCGCGCGTTTACACGAGCATTCGAGCACAGTGTGTCCGATCGATTTCAAATTGTGAAGACCATTTCCCCCTTCAAAAAATATTTCTATATATGCATTTGTGAACTGTTATTTACGATATTCATAATAATGTTTGTTTAATCACTTAATTTCAACTTTTTTTTTGCTAATTACGTATTCGCTCGAACTTTGTTAAAACTTTAACTGTATACCGAACAACAACCGAAGTTGTAGAAGGAAATTCGCCTATTTTACCGATCTAGGGATCCCCTTTTCCAAATTTTAATATCATCTAATAATTTAAAAAGACAAATTACAATAAAACGGTTTATTATCCAACTATCAGAAATTTCACAACATGCCAAGGAAGAGAGGAAGGAGCAATTAAATAATTAAAATTATAAAGGATTTAAAAATATATATAAAAATGGGGAATATTGCGCTTCTGACAATCGACGCGTGCGTGTGGGCTAAATTTGGAGAATCCGTGCTTCTCGCATGGACAACTGTATGTGGCCGGCTCACACGTCGAAAAATCTTCCGATTTATTCGTGTACGCACCAGACGGAAAAACAAAAAATATCGTGTATCCACAAGCGCTCCAATAAATAAATAGAATTGAAACGACACTTTGAAATGTTTTCCCGATGGAAATTAATAATAATAATAAGTTTCAATAAAAATAATAAAATGTAAATTGAATTTTATCATAACGAGTTTGCTTGAATTTCCTTTCTTCTGAG